AGTGGTTGGAAGAGGATTGTAGAGTGTCAGATGTAACCTTAGGCACACAATGATCCTAGTAGACACATATAGACATGTATGTGTATGAATTTAGTGTATAGATAACTAAATAAGAAGGGTAACACCCTTATTGGCTTGGAAACTCTAAGATTTCTGGGATACAATCACATATGATTACATAACTAGGGTGTACGGCCACCCTATTGAGTTTAAGGTCTATGTGGTATGACCATAAGAGTTTACGGTCAAAGTGGTTCACTCTTTCATGGGTTCACGGTCCCATGTGTTTAAGCTCATGGGGTTTACGGTATAAGGAGATACACTAGACCATAAACTCCTTTTGTTCATGGAAAAGTGACGATTTCAAGCCCAAACACAAGAATCCTAGCTAGATATAAGTATCAGAGGATGATAGTTACGATTTGAAGCAAAATGAGGGGTGTTTTCAGCCCAAAACACTAAGGTGTTCTTGATGTTCTTGAGGATCTTGAAGATCTAGACTCAAAAATGGAATCCATGGATGAATCAAGAATGAATAATGGATATAGGAAGGATTAACACAAAAGATAAGGAATCACTTACTTGTTCTTGAAGATTTGGATGAAAAAGTTTATGCTTTTCAAGAGAGAATCGGTTTCAAGACTTGGAAGAGGGAAAGGAATGGCGGAAGTGATCATCCTATATATATATATATATATATATATATATATATATATATATATATATATATATATATATATATATAGTGATGGGTTTACGGTCACCTTGACCATAAACTCACAGGTCTCGATAGTAAACTCCTTTTTCAGGAGGTTTACGGTTTCTAAGCAAGTTAGAATTTGGGCTGATATTTGCAATCTCTTACACTTTTGATATACTAAGGTTATAACACTCAAAACAGGTTCCAAACAGTCATAACTGGAAGCAAAATGAATCTAACACTGATAGGTTTAATTGATTAAACAAGCTTGTAAATTTCAAGATGTCACAACTAAGGTGGTACTCAAGACTATTGAGGAGATCAAACAGGTCTAGAGCAGACTTCAAACAACTCAGAGTCGGCGAAAGAGCAACAATGAAAGGCGCCGATTGGACCTAGAGTTTCAGTTAGGAGATATGGTTCTCCTAAAGGTGTCACCATGGAAGGCTGTCTTCCGATTCAGGAAACGGGGCAAGCTAGGTCCTAGGTACAACGCTCCATTTAGGGTTTTTGCTCGGGTGGGCCATGTTATGGATCGACTAGATCTGCCTGCCGAGCATAGTCAAATCCACGGTACTTTTCATGTTTCCCAGCTGCAGTAGTGCTTAGTGGATAATTCCGCAGTTGTGTCATTGGAGGATATTCAGGTGGACGACCGCCTGAACTACGTTGAGAGGCCAGTAGCAATTCTAGATTCAAGGAAAAAAAACCTTGAGCAACAAGGTTCTATAGTTAGTGAAGGTGCAGTGGCTCCACCACAAGGGGTCAGAGTGGACTTGGGAGCAAGAGGAGGAGATGAGAGAGCATTATCCGAAATTATTTGAGACAACCGACTTCGAGGAAGAAGTCTTAGACAAGTGGGGGAGAATTGTAACGCCTGGTTCCTGGTATGTATTTAACTTATAATTCATTCTATTTTATAGAGCAACTTGACGAGTTAGGAGACCCAAAATCATCAAGTAAAGATCATAAGGGCGGTGTATTTTAAGTAACCTACTCGACGAGTTGGGAGGCCTCAACTCGACGAGTAGGCTGGAAGATACGAAACTCTAAAGCTATTGTGAGTGCCTCTGAGCCATTCTATGTGTTTTTAGTGTGTACTTGAAGCCATTGGAAGAAGGAAAAGCTTGAGGACACAAAAAGGAGCTTATAAATCTAGAATCCTTTCCTCATCCATGACATTTTTCTAGTATAAAGCTTTAACCTTTCCCTGTGGTCATTTAGATCTATTTTTGCGTTCCTTGCTTGTTTTTTTCCCAGATGATATGATTCTTGGGATTTGGATGTCCTAAGTGGATAACACTTTAGATCTAGAGTCTTGAGGGGTTTTCATGGGATAAAGGTGTCACACCCCTAAAACGGAGCGGCGGAAACGTCCGGGGGTGGATGACTTCATGTTAAGTATCACAACACATGCATCATAGTAATCAAAGTACAATAAACATTGCATTAATAAAGCATACGTTGTACATATGTATTCAAATCATTGTATATATGAAATCGAAAGTTACATAACAAAAGATAGAAGACACGACTCTGTAGTGCTCCGTCTTCTCAAAATCTCGGAGATGTACCTGTCTACTGATTCCCTAAGAATACAGGTGTTTTGAAAAAAAGAGTCTCAACATTTAAGTTAGTGAGTGCATAAGTATTTATGTTTAAAAACTTGGTTTCTGTTCCTTGAATAATGAGTAAGTTTATTGTTCTAGAAAATCCAATATTTTCTATTTTAACTGAAAAGTAGTTTTAATACCATAAAACTATTTTGTGTAAATGTTGTTGTACTATAAAATAGTATAACATAGTTTCAATTCAAAATAAAACTATAAAAATAAAGTTTTCTATATTGTTTATGTTTTCAAAGTTCTGAAATTCTACTATTTGAAAACCTCTTAAAAGTGAGTATGTCTGGTTCCACTAGTTGTAATTGTAAGTGATAGTATTATACGGTAAGTTGTATTATTTTAAAACCAGCACCTTGTATTTGTACCTCTTTGTTTAATTATTCATACACTAAATGTATTTTTCATATCTTTTTGTGAGTTATTATAACCATACTAAGACTATTAAGCCTGATACAACACTTTACGGATGTTAGAACTATAACGACATTTGTCATTCATAGGCATACCAGCCTAACTGTAGCGAACAGTCTGAGTGCAGGATTGTCAATCAGTTATAGATCTATACACATTTGTCTCGCTCTTTGTTGGGAGATTCTGGTTATAATTATCAGTCTTTAGTAGTATTGCTTAAATAATTAAGTGAGTGAACTTTTTCTCATAAAAACCATATTAACGATTATGTGTGTAATAATGATGAAAAGTCATTCGGAACTAAAGGAACTTATAGTATGTTCCTTTTCTAGTATACTTGAATGTAAAGTATGTGTACGAGAGTATACTATTAAACTTTGTATATCTTGACAAGTGAGAATAGTGTGATAGTTCCATAAATTGTACCTATTATAATTTATATATGTATTTTTTTATGTGAATTATTTGTGAAGTATCCCTTTTGCTCGGCATGTTATGAAGGTAGATCAAACTGATTTAAGTAACTATATATATATATATATATATATATATATATATATATATATATATATATATATAGGGAGGGTTCATCCGAAAATGCAAATAATTTGCGAAAATACGAAAACAAGAAAAACCTATGATATTGTGTCACCTCAACATTATATTTTCGAAAATAATTCATTCAAACTTTGAAATACATGATATAATCGATGATAGATGTGAAATTGTTTTATATTAGCAAAGTATGATTTTTAACATTTTTATTATGAAAACATGAATTTAAAAATGATTAAGGATGTGAAAAAACAAAGGTATTAAAACCGTCGTTAAATCTATATTAACATAACACCATCCAATATAAACTCTCTATCTTTAATTTACCCTAAACTCACATCCAAACAAGGAAAAGGAAATAAAGCGAATTATTAGTCCTAAGCCTTTTAAATCTTATATATATATATATATATATATATATATATATATATATATATATATATATATATATAGAGAGTAAATATAAGTTAAAAAGAGTTTATAAATTATTTAAAGTCGTTTTAGAAATATTTAGAAATCATTTATTTGTAAACACCATATTCTCGTGTTAGACCTATATTCCCCCCCCCCCCCCCCCTTAAAACAGTAAAAAAAAATCGTAAAAGCGCAACGGTATGAACTCAATTGATGAGTGGTTATTCAGACAACGTTTCGTTTCTAGGAATGATTTTCTTGTTGAAAGTGAGAGTTTCTGATAAAACACCGGGCTTTACGCAGGCAGAGTTTCAACTGGAAGATATTATTGTCTCGAGGACTTCGGGGCTCTGGGCTTTCTTCGGATGTTAGGGGCGGTATTACTAGGCTTCGCGGGTTTTAGAGGGGTTAAAGTGTTGTTAAAAGTGAGAGAGAAGTTGAATTTTGTAAGCAAAACCCAGAGGCTTCGCATCCTATTTATAGGACACTACTAGAAAAATAGCCTTTTACAACGCTCATTGCGCGTCGTAAGAGGCTCAGACGACGCGCAAATGCGCATCAAGGAAGGCCCTTTCATAAAGAGAGACGACGCTCATTTACGACGCGCAATTATGATGCGTGTTTACGACACACAATGCGTATCAAGGAAGGCCCTGTCATAAAGGAAGACGACACGCATTCGCGTGTTGTAACCTTACGACGCGCGTGTTAATGACACGCAATGCGTATCAAGAAAGCCCTTGTTAAGAAAGGCCATGTCATAAATGAAGATGACACACATTTTTGCGTATCGTAAATGTTCGCCTTCGGGTTCTTAAGAAGAAAAAGAAGATCCCAGAGTTCTCTTTCTAGGTTGAGGAGATTGCTTTTACTTTCTTGTTAAACCTACCCGAAAGAACCACGCTGCCTGTATGAACAAACAAACTTTGCAGAACCGTTTCACCTAATCGATCGTGGTGAAGTCAGCAATGGATTCGGCGGATCATCCACGTTTAAATGTTTAAAAAAAATTATATATTTATTAATTTTTAAATTAAATTTGCATTTAATTTCTCATAATAGAAATAAAATACTTTTTTGGATAGATTTACTAATTTTCAAATTAAATAACACATTAAAAGTCTCATAATACAAAATAAAATACCATAAACAATAAAGATAATTCATTGCACTAAGGACCATGTTAACAAAAGAATATAACATTATATACCATAAGTACCCTCAAGTAATCAATCTCTTACAATGTTACTAAAAATACCCTCAAGTAATCATTGTCTTACAAAGTTAAGAGACTTAGATACTCAGTTGGTATGTAATATGGCACTAAGAAGCCCAAGAACTGTTTGTGTTTTTCCTGTTCCTGGTGGATCCTACATGGATAAAAGGTAAGAATTAACATTTTCAAAGTACATTGCCTTAATAAGGAAATCAATGGTAAAAGGCAAATCTGAATAAGAATAAACTTTATACATATATACATGGAAGTATTGTAATACACAATAACAACAACAAATACCAAATTACCCTTTGCTTACCTTTTCTTATGGCCACCTCCAAAAGTGAGAATTTGATAAAAGATTTAGGTCACGCATTCTCTCATCAAGCTCTGTATCCAAAAGTGAGAATTTGATAAAAGATTTAAAAAGTGGGAAAATATCAAGAATATAGAGGATAATACATTAAGAAAAAAATTACCTTCACAAAGAGCAAGTTTCAACCTTCTTCCCCAACAATGTTTGAAAATAAAAAGCTCATATATATATCGATCTCTGCTAAAAGGATATCTATTGCTTGATGATCTTTCTTCAAATTGAAGTACAAAATATATTAGGCATATGATAATAAGGAGAGAATTATAACAAAACTTACTCAAAATATCCATTTGATAATTCACAATGACCAACCAAACAAGGTCCACCAATTCTTGGATCCTACAATCTCATAAAAAGTACATGTTAATAAGAAAAAAAATAAAGTAGAATGTTGTAATAAAAAGAAATAACCAACTAACTTGTTGTGCTAATGAAACAAACTTGTATGTGTCCAAAGCATAACGAACCAATGCCTCATTTTCCCCTGGATTTATCATGCATCTGGAATTTTTTTTTATATTATTAATTTTTATCCAATAAAAAATTTTTAATTCATTTATTTTTTTCTTACGTGGAATAGAAAAAGAACTCCACCCGGGCGAACCAGCTGAACAACCTGATCAAACAATCGTTTCTGATACTTCCCATGTCTTCTCAATGATTCCAACGTGTCCTTAAATAAATCAAATTTTAAAATAAAAAATAAAAATAAAGATTTTTTTTAAGAAAAAAATACCTCTCCAGCAAACAAGCGGGGTCTTAATCCAAGAGCAGAACAAGCGACATCTAACTTATATGCTTTTATGCTAGTCTACCCCAGTTCTGTAGCTAGATTGTGAATTTCAAGCACCTAGATAAATTATTTTTTTTAAAAACATAAATAAATAGGGATATATGAAAAGATATATAATGTAGTAACAGGATTTTACCTTGTCATGAGACCTATCAACTGCAATCACCTCTCCTTTATCTTTCATAAGGGAACCAATTGCAGTTGTTTTTCCACCAGGGGCAACACACATGTCCAATATTCTTTCTCCCTCTTGTGGATCTATAAATATATGAATTGCCAGAATTACCCCTCATTGACAATCAAAAAGAAGAAAACAAAGATGTATATATGTAGACATACCTAAGACATGTGCAGTAATGATGCTTGGCAAGTTTTGAAGAAATATGTCCCCATTCATCACATCTGTATGTAGTAATTTTTTATTAATGAATTTCAAAAGAATTTAGGGTAAAACTGTAAAAGAAAAATAAAAAATGTATACCATTAAAGGATGTTAATCTAAAAACTCTATCAGTTATATCCACACCAAGACCTGATAATCCACGAAAAATTCCTGCCCTTGACATCGGTGTGGTTCCTTGACCAATATATAATCCATCTCTTTCAAGATATTGAGGATCTACAATAGATATATAACAAAGTGTTATAATTTATTTATAGAGAAGTAAAAGTAAGTAAGTTGAATGAAGAGAGAGAGAGAGAGAGAGAGAGAGAGAGAGACCTGTTTTAAGTCCTTGTAGGACAATGCCACGTGTGATTCCAATAACTCATCTATTTTCACGACTAGGCTGTTCAACACCAACTGAAACTGCAACTAAATCCCCTTTCTCAACATGAGCACTGCATGCTAATATTCATGGAACATATACCTACACAAATATCACATTCAAACATTAAAATCTGAACACTTTCTAGTGTACCTAATCAATCATGTTGCACATTAATAATAAAACTAATAGTATTTCTCATAGTCATAACATACTCCTTTAACTATTTAGTCACTATAGACCAATAAACCTACAAACGAGAATAGGAGAAAGATAACAAGAAAAAGAAAAAGAGAACGCAGCTGAAAGAATAATGAAAATGAGAAATTGGGTACCAAGTCAATGTTAAGCAATCATAAAAGAAGAAACATAATACAAGATTACAAGCCCGAATGAAAAAAAAACATGATTGATAGGATGTGTGATCATTTGAATGAGGATGATGATGATGATGATGACAAAATGATTAATATAACAATTTCAACTGTTGCTTACCTGAGCACCTCGAAGTACTGCCTTTGCACACTTACAGCTGACAATTATCTCCTTAGGAGGTCTGTCTTGCTGATAATCATACTGAATATCATGTGGGCCTGAACCCTTCACAAATACATCATAGTCTAGCCCAGGTATTTGACACTTTAAAACACTTAGGGATTCTATAGCACCATTCTTTACAGTATCTAAAATGAAAAGAAATCATAAAAAACGTTATTTGACTAAATTAAAAAATATAATTTGAAAAAAAAAACTTTAAACACTTACTAAAACATCTTTTTGCATCATAACTTCCAACCCTAGTCCCCTGCTTTTAAAAATTTGATGAAAACGAAGCAACTTGTAAATAAACTTAACATTTCTTTTAATCAATCTGATTTATTTTGTGACTTTGATATATATATATATATATATATATATATATATATATATATACACACACACACACACACAATGAGAAACCTTAACATTTCATTTACAGGTGAACAAGGGAACAAACTTAGACTGGTCATCACAGTTGATAATAGCAATTGAAACAACATGATTATGGTACTTTCGTGAAGATTGAAGGGTGGGATGGATAGTTCACATAAATATGTAGCAGCCTAAAAACGTTCCCTTAACCCAAGATTATGAACCTTTGCGTGATATCTAGATGGACAAATAAAGGGTAAAACAGGGAATTCACATAGGTGACATCTGGAAATCATCCAAAAACATGATCCTCAACAAAAACATGATCCTCAACAATTGTCAAAAGTGAAACTCAGAACTTGATAAAGCAGAATGGTGGCTTGAGCTCTTATTTTGCAACTCTCTTGTCACATCTGGAAATCATCCCAACATCCATGGATTGGGAGTCAACACTAAAATAATCAATCACCAAGAGATGCATGCAATAAGAAGAGATTTTTTTACGCTCACAGAATGATCATCCATTCTCTCCATTGCTCTAATTGCTGCAATTTAATATCATTCCTATCCTAGCATCTATGGATCATCTGTAGATAACAAGAGAAAAAGTATGGGACGATATATAAACTTTTTTAATACCATATATAACTTGGATCTTATGAAAGAAAACAACGAGAATAAAGAAAAACCTGTAGTTTTGCTAGACGAGACTGCATTGAAGATACGTATTGATAATGTCATCCCAATATATATCTACAATAGCATTCTCCTCTGTGAGAGATCCTGAACTAAAAAAAGAGCATCAGTAAACAAGAAAATTACAAATATAACCTTGTTCTAGTTGAAAAGACAAACCTATCCTTTACAAGTGCTCGTGAAGCGCCACTCTTGTTACCAGCTCTATCACCGCCAACAGAAATCTACAAGCAGCCTCAAGAGCAACTTCTAGAGCCCTAAACTCAAAGGGAAAGTAGTCAGGTGAAGTGTTACCAAACATGTCCCCTAAGGACCTATTTGAATTTCCCATTCGTCTATTCAATTCTACCCCTTCAGATTGCCACACCTCACCACCCCCTGCAGCTTTCAATCGTCTTTGTAATTCCACCATATATTGTAACACATAGCTATCAAGAGAATTCAAAAGCAGAACTTCATCAGCTGTTCAACTATAGCCTTTTCTTTTCCAAGAATTGTTGAAGGATAAACAGATAATGGTATAATATGTCTCTGATGCCAAATTTATCTAAGAAACATGTATTCATAACATAAGAGCCAAATTTATCTAAGAAAAATGTGAATTAAAATTATTTGCTAGCTGCTACATAAGTCCCTGATGCCCACATAATTGGTATAATATGTGGGAATTTATTTTCTTCGAAAAGAAGCCAAGCAAAGAAAAATACGATCCAAAATTGTGGAATCATTCTTAGAAGAGTTAGGGAAATTATGAACTTACATACTGGTTCAATAAAGGCAAAAAACCTCATTCTGATATGATATAGCTGCCCTTGTACCTAAAATAACATCAAAATAAAAAGTTAGAAAGAAGGTAAAATGCATATCACAATCAATCTAAAGTCTAAACGCACATGTAGTCAGAGGGAAAGCCCTAAATTTTGAGGTAAGATTGAGACGAATTAGTGTTGAAAGGTGTCGAATTAGTGGTGAAAAGTGTCACCACATGCCTTGTAGACAAAAGAAGCATACTGGTCATCCTTATACGCCTCTCTCATTACCTCCGGCTGAGCTGCCAGTGAGAATCGTCGGCGTATGGAGTTGGAGGTACTGGTTGGGGTGGTAGCTGGACCAGAATCTTCTTTGTCTTCTCATCTCGGGATGTCTGGCACCAGAGGACTCCCCGACTTCGATTCCTATTTTTGTTTATTTTCTCTCTCTCTCTCTCTCTCTCTCTCTCTCACACACACACACACACACTCACCTGGAGGGAGTTTTCAATTTCACCTTTTATTTCCACCAGAGACGCCACCACAAGTTGATGCTTCCATCAAACGCAAACATGGAAGATGCTTTTGAATATATTGATGGTGGTTGCGGTTTCTAGGGTTTGTAGAGAGAAGGGAGGGAGAAAATAAATATCTTTGTCAGCTGGTAGCTCTGATTGACGAAGAGATCTCATTAGCGTGGTGGAGAGGGGAGAAGCAGATCAGATAAGAGAGAGAAGGAGGGAGAGGGGAGAATTAATCGATTGCGAAGATGAAAAGCGGGTTTTCAAAATTTTGGGGACTATGTTTCCCCCCATCCACGGATGTACTAAACGTGTATTTCATTAAAATTATAAAGTGACACTTATAAAGGACGCGCATTTAACATATAGCGCCCTCTGTGTTTTTAATTTTTTTTACATGAGACACTAATTTAATGGCACATAATAATGCATGACCTAAATCCTAATTTTTTTTGAAGAGATGACGCTTTTTTAATGTCACTATCTTCTGCGTAACATAAAACAAAGAGTATCGTGGTTTGCGCGTCGTAAAAGGGTCTTTTTCTTGTAGTGGGAGGTTATGCTAAGAGTAAATCCTTGGTACGTTGGGCGTACTAAGATAAGCCTCAGTACGCTGGGTGTACGTCTCGTACCCAGGTCGTAGTACTTTGATCATTATCCGAACATCAGATGTGGTTGATACGTGTTTATCGTGCGAAGGAAGGGCGACATGGTCAATCTGAGGCGAAGTTTATGAGTACGTTGGGCGTAATTCAGTACACAGGGCGTACTCCTTTGGACCAACCTCGTAATTTGTGTCTCAAACTTCAACAAATTCATATCTTTCGCATATGATCTCCATTATTGATGTTCTTTATATGCACGCGTAGGTGACACCGTGCTATACAACTTTCTCTTAGACTCCGTCCGCTAATTTTGATTTATTTTTAAAGTTATATTTTTAACAGGCCGGGACAGAAAAAAGTCCGTTAAAAATTCATAACTTCTTTATCCGACGTTGGTTTTTGTCTTTCTTTTTACCGCTAGATTTCTTTTGACAAGATATACGATTCTCGTTTAGGTTGTTTTATCTAAATGTTGCTCGATCTAAATTTCGAGTTTCGGGTTGCATACTGCTATGCCAAATCTTAGAAAATTCACAAATTCATCACATGAAGTTAGATTTGGACGTTCTTTTTAGGAAAAATGACACATATAACCATAGAACTTTCTAGGGTTTACCATTTTAGTCATTAAACTTATTTAGTGGCTTTATGGGGGAATCAATTGTGTTGCAACCTAGCAATTTAGTCCCCTTCACTTGTTATAGCCGGTCACCTTGCCACATCGTCCGAATTTGACACATCATCGATGACATGTCGCCATTGTATTTAACTCTTGTAGCTAAACGACATCATTTAGGAATCTGAAGCGCAAGTGGCATGTTCACACTGTTCACCTGCCTCCGTATAAAGTGCTAAGCTTGTGCCCTAAAATGGCACAATTCATAACTTGGTTACCCCAACTACACCATATACTTTGATACCAAATGCTCAAACAATGTTGTCATCATCATCTCAAGATCATAGTTGGTCACCCAACTATAATCGGCACATGGCTGAAAATGTGTCGAATGGAGTTACAAATGAAGACTTGGCGATCAATCTACTGCAGACACAGTTGCAAGTGTCGCATGTGATGGAAGAGATTGCAAACGACCTTCGTGAACTATGACGCAAGCTCACTAGAGAGATGGACACCCTAGATCATGAAGTCGATGATGTTAGAGCAGGGCAACTCGATCTATCTAACATGGTTGCTGATTTGAAGAATCATTTATGTTCGTTGCAAGTGTCGTATGTACAATCTGTTCTTGGAAAAAACAATTCGAAGAAAGTCAAATGGGTCTTTGGGGTTTTTGGAGTTTTGTGGTTGCTGTTGTTAGGGTTTTAACCTACTTGTTTTATAAGTGATAGAAGCTTAGTAGGTTAAACATTTCAATCTCGGGTTACTATTTTGTTTACATTTGCATCTTCTATTTTGTGCTTATTAGTAAAAGGTTTTGTGGTTGTCTAGTATGTAGTTACGTAGTGGTGGGAATAGTGTTTTAAGTTGTTCAGTTCTTCAATACATGTAAAGATGCAGAAACCCATGAATGAAATGTTGGTTATGTTAACCTGTTCTTGTTATAAAACGATTGCTCTTATAAAACTTCATTTGCATGTGTAATGATGAAGTAGTCATTTTTTTGCTGATTTTGTTTTTGGGACTACATGAAAAAGTGAAATGTTTAATACCATACATGTTTGTGGGGACATGGGACAAAAGAGAAGATGCATACACCCAGATTTGTTGTTGCCTAAACCCAGAAATGGAAAACAATGAAAAGTGTATTTTTGTTGTATTTGTGAGGGACCGTATTTGTGATTAAATGGATGAAATAAAATTGCCCTAATTGTTAAGTCCAATAATAAATGTATGACTCGAATACCCCTACTGGATTTGGTGACATAATAAACATTGACTAAAATACCCTTACTGGGTTAATTCACATAATCTAAATTTCCTCTAATACCTGTGATCCGTTTATTAAAATAAAACATGAAAAAAAGACAAAAATACCCCTACTTCATTAATAAATTAAAATGACAGAAAGACCCCTAAAGTAACTTCTTCAAATAACCAAAATAGCCCTACTATAATAAATACATGAAAAACCATATAACCCTACCTTTGATACTAGCATGAAATACCCATACGCCTACTTTAATAAACTATTTACAATGACAAAAATACCCCTACCTGAGTACTAGCATGAAATACCCACACGCCTACTTTAATGAAAGGTTTAGAATAACCAAAATACCCCTACCGGAATGCTAGCATGAAATACCCATATGCCTGCTGCATAAACTGTTTGAAATGACCAAAATACCTTTACCTGAATACTAGCATGAAATGACGAAAATACCCTACCTGAACACTAGCATGAAATACCCATACGCCTACTTTAATGAACTGTTTAGAATGACCAAAATACCCCTACTGGGTTACTTCACATAATAGAAATTTCCTTTAATACACCTGATCCGTTTATTAAAATAAAACAAAAAAAGACAGAAATACCCCTACCTAAATACTAACATTGTATTAACTAAGTCAAATGACCAAAATAACCCTATTTTAATAAAAGCATGCCGTACCATAAATTTTACAATCAAACAAAGCATTAAAATATCGATGGTTAATATACTTATAACATACATCCAAATAGAAAACACAAATTCGTTTGTTGAATCCATATAACAAGAACACAATAACAAGTGTAATTAATCTAACTCCATTAGCGATCCAACACTGCCACCTTTACGTGCAACTCTTTTAGCAAGCTTTAGTTTAAAAAATTTCTCTGACTTCTTTCTGCTCTTTGGTTGACATGTAGTTTTCACTTGCCTTGGAACTTTATTAACCCCCACCTCTTGCTCAGATCCATTTTCCCTCATTACTTCAACATTTTGTGGCTCAACTCTATCACCCATCACAACATCTTCTCTACCTCCTTGCATATTTACTGATTCTTGTGTTTGCATGATTTTTTGTTTCTTTTTCGCATTAGTATTAGGTGGCCATTGCATTTGTGTGCAATTGGTCTTGTTGTGCCATTTCTCTTTGTATATGCCACAAGAAAACTTTTTCTCTGCCTTTGAAACAGCGTGTCTTCTAGACCTTTTTGAGGCATCCCTTTTTCTTTTGACTGTTGGCCTGTTTGGCATTCTTCTTTTTAAAGCAGGCAATGGATGTGTAAAGGTTGTTGAAGGCCACATGTTCATCCCATTCATACCACTAGTATACTTTTTGTAAGTATTTTGGTAGAAGGTTGCCCGGTACAAAGGCTCTACATATGGCGCATCAGGTGTTATGTTTAAAAACGCTAATGTAGCTAGTGAATGAACACATCCATACCCATTTAGTACGACTCATCCATTTTCCTTGTTTCAAACTTTATACTCTCACAAGACGCAACCTGCCAATGCCTACATAGATTAATGCAATATTTAGAGTTGACAGTGGTAAGTAATGTATGGAAAAAGTATACATACCTTTGCTCATTTTGTAGAATATTCAGTCTTGTTATGATGTTTGGAAAAAACAGAATAACGATTCCATCCTTCACCTATGCATTTCATATTTACCATCCTTTGCATTACATAAATACGAATGTCCTCCAACATGCTGATAATAGGCGTCTTCCTAGCATCCAAAATGACACTATTAAAGCTCTCTAAAAAGCCATTCTCCAAAGATTCATAGGATGACTGGTGAACTCTAAAAAAAGCTAGAGACCAAGTGTTTGGATCAATATCCATAAGATGGTTAACAACTTCAGGGTTCAACTTTTCAATATCTTTCATGACTGTGTTAAAATGCACTTCAGTTATTGCCTTGCTTGCACTCCAAAACAAATTCTCAAACTTTGCTCCATTAAAACTCTTTCCAAAGTTAGCATATATATGCTTGGCACACTACCTATGTTCTGCTACTGGGAATACTTCTTTGAATTCCACAACTAAACCTTGCACATGTACCAGTAATACGAGGAGTTAAAATGTAAATATTTACTATACTATGTTGAACACTTTATAAACATACCTTGTGTTGATAAGAAATTAAAGTCAATCCACTTCCATAATTCTAACATTGCAGATCTTGTGCAAGATTTTCATTGAACCATTCCCAATTCTCTTTGTTTTCCACACATACAACTGCCCAAGCAATTGGGAATATTCCATTGTTAGCATCCCTACCAACAACACACAACAACTCACCCTGGAAACAGGTTTTCAAGAAACAACCATCCAAGTTAATGATCCGTCTAGACCCTCCACGCCACTCTTCTTTGCCTGCAGCGAAGCATATGCAAAAGTTTATGAAGTAATTCTTACCATTAGGAAATGTATCCACATAAATTTTAACAGTGGATCTTGGATTTGATCTTTTAATCTCCTCACCGTAAGACCATATTCTAACATAATTTTTTGCAATCGTGCCTTTAACTAGACTCAATGCATACTTCTTGGCTCTCCTACACTGACTCATACTTACAACAATGCAAAAGTGGTTTTGATCTCCTCTTTTAGTAATCTCACACTCATTTTCTGATTATTGAAAAATTGTTGGGTAAAGTGGGTACTTATCCATCTATAACTTATAATTGATCCAAATTTGAAATTCTTGAGAAATTACACTCACTAGTAAGAAACTTAATATGGAAAGACATTTCATTACTCATCCATGACCCCCAAAGCCTAAATGTACATTTCCATCACAACATTTTGCTAGCAACCATCTACTATCATTTTTCACAAAACATAATTGATAAGCATTTGCAACAGCGTAGTTACACAGCATGAATTTCAATTGTTTAGGACTCTCAAACCTCATACCCAACACAGGTTCTTGCTCCGTCCAGTGAAGCTGTTCATTGAAAATGTTTGGCAACTGAGGATAAACATCTTCATCATAATGCATGCCTTCTTCCAAAGGGCCACTCAAAGCCGCATTCTCACCCATTTCGACATCAGACCCATTAGATTTTTCGAATACATGAGGACTGCTATGGTTATCCTCATCTACATCAACGTCCACATCATCATCCTCGTGGTCATCCTCATCCTCAAACTCATTTTCATCCTCATCATCCAAATGGCCTGAGGCAATTTCTTTAACTAGTATGGCACCATCAAGAACTTCTTCCACTATGTTATCAACAACCTCTTCTTTGTGTTCATCTAACCATTCTTGCATGTTACTATTACCAAAATGGTCTATATACATAGGAAGTATAACACCACATTCATAGGCTATTGCCATGAAATAAGCATAATCCAACTTATTCGATATTAAGGTCAAACCTTTGTCCGGTATACCTTTCCATAAATTCATAACACCCGATGCAGTCCATGCCTGTGAAATCGATGTCCGACAACCTCTGAGTAAACCCCGTGGTGTAGTGTATAAGGTATTTTTCAAAGATTCCATGGAAATACACATCGACTTGGATTAATACGGGATCCATGTTAGATGTTTGAGGAGAGAGAGCAAAATTAAGGGTTTATTGAAAGAGCTGGAAGGGGTGAATGGCGAACAGTATTCGACAACATATCTCATTTAAGTAAACCTGTAAATCTATTGGTAAATATTATTAAATGACACGGCATACACAGTCAGCAAAGCAAGAGTTATCATTAACACATGTGACAGTAATATGACTGGTTGACCCCATCACAATTTACATAATAACATAACAACCCGAAAAAATAAAGTTTGTGCCCTCATAAACCCACTAAAAAAGTTTAGTGACTAAAAGGGTAAACCCTAGAAAGTTCGTAGGTGTTCTGATTCATTTTCCCTTCTTTTTATGTACACTCTCGATTTAATGTATACTACAAGTTTCATTTAGATACCTAAGCCTAAAAATCATTTTATTGTAAACTCAATTTTTACGCTACCATTAAAATCTGATGCATTGTATTTTTCCTATTTGATTCACAAATACCATTAAAATCAGAGTAATAGATATTTTTTTTCCATACTATCATAACTCAATTTACAACAAATTAAATGATAATTGAGTTGAGTATTTTAATTCTAGATAAAACAGAAAAATTCACCATGCATCTAGCAAATGCAAAGTTTTTTCAGTACTAAACATTTCAATTTTATGTTTTTTAGTAATACCTAAAAAGTATATTCATTTGAATACCATAGATAATGAGTATTATATATGGTAGTTCTCTTTAGTGTCTCCAACCGACTCATTGTAAATAAAGGTGTTAAATCCTGATTTCAGAAGGATGAAAACTTAGACTTACTATTCCAAAAATCAAAACCCTTAGGAAAGCCCAAGAAAACCTAAAGGCTTGATGTTACGATCTGAAACCTCTATCGTCACATCTATTTGAGTTCTCTAGTCCAATCAACTAGCTCATCTTAAGAAGAAATCTACGATAAAATAAAAATGTATGCTTTTCGTTTTATTGAGTTTTAAATAAGTAGCATAGATTAGTTGAGTTTAGATCCAATTGCTTTGATGTTTGATTAGATTTTTTTATCATTTCAGTTATCTTATGTTTGATCTAATAAGGCTTGAAATCCATCATATATGTCTATGAATATCTTGTACATATATGCATATGAAGTACATATATGTATATGTATACGTATATATGCATTATATGCCTAAGTATACATTTATATGCATATGTATATATTCATATGGATATATGCAAATTAATATATATATATATATATATATATATATATACATGCTTATTAATATCCATATGTCCATTTGAATATATACATATGCATATGATGCACGTCTATATGCATATGTGTATGCATATTAATCTATATATATATATATATATATATATATATATATATATATATATATGCATATATATTTGATACATGTTCATATTGTTGGATATAATGTCTAGGTCCATAACTATATTTGGTATGTACTTGACCCGACCCAGCATGATCCATTTGGGTTGCACCTCACCAGAACAATTTATGGATTATCTTTTGAGAATAGTATAAGTTATGATTTATTAATATAATATAAGTCTGAATATATTATATAAAACCATATTATTTAATCAATATTGATCTATAATTAATTTAGAATTAATTTAGAGATCAAAAGTATGACTAATTAAATATGGGCTCTTGTATTTATATATTGTGGGCTAATGCTTATATGGAAAGGGCTAGGCTTGCATGGAAAGTCCATGGAGCTTTAACCCATGAATCTCATGAAAATGAAAAGACATTGGTATTAGGGTTTACAAGGATGTAACCCTAATCCACCATACTATATAATGGAGGCTTTGGTTCTTGAAATCGCACTAGTTGTGGTGAGTATACTAAGAGGGCCAATTTCAAGAAAGGTTGTGACTATTCTCTTAAGTTTCCAAGTTTGTGGTGATTTGTGACTTCCATTTGAGGCATCCACACTATTGGTTCTAGGCTCGCAAACTCCAAGCAATCAACTACAAAGTTATTTGAATATTAAACATGTCAATTTTATGTTTTATAGTAATACCTAAAAAGTATATGCATTTGAATACCATAGATAATGACTATTATATATGGTAATTCTCTTTAGTGTCTCAAACCACCTCACTATAAATAAAGGTGTCAAATCCTGGTTTTAGAAGGATGAAAACATAGACTTACTACTCCAAAATTTGAAACCCTTAGGAAAGCCCAAGAAAACCTAAAGGCTTGATGCTACGAAGTGACACCTTTATCGTCACATCGTGATGATGAATAGTATCATTGTTTTCAGTTTGTTTCATGTTGCTTCACATTGGGGTGTTCATATATGTTGGTTTTTTACGTCTTAGGTATCATTATAATAGATGAACTCTATTTGAGTTCTCTAGTCCAATCAACTAGCTCATCTTAAGAAGAAATCTAAGATGAAGTCAAATGCATGTTTTCTGTTTTATTGAGTTTTAAATAAGTAACATATATTAGTTGAGTTTAGATCCAATTGCTTTGAGTGTTTGATTAGATTTTTTTATCATTTCTGTTATCTTATGTTTGATCTAATGAGGCTCGAAATCCATCATATATGTCTACGAATATGTTGTACTTATATGCATATGAAGTACATATATGCATATGTATACGTATATATGCATTATATGCATAATTATACATTTATATGCATATGCATCATATGCATATGTATATATTCATATGGATATATGCAAATTAATATGCATATATATATTATATATATATATATATATATATATATATACATGTTTATTTATATCCATATGTCCATATGAATATATACATATGCATATAAATGTATACTTATACATATAATGCATATAAACGTATACATAAGCATATGATACATGTGTATATGCATATATATATATATATATATATATATATATATATATATATATATATATATATATGCATATGTATATGATACATGTGCATATTGTTGGATATAGTGTTTAAGTCCATAACTATATTTGGTAGGTACTTGACCCGACCCGACATGGTCCATTTGGGTTGCACTTTACCCGAACAATTTATGAATAATCTATTGAGAATAGTATAAGTTATGATTTATTAATATATTATAAGTTCTAATATATTACATAAAATCATATTATTTAATCAGTATTTATCTATAATTAATTTAGAATTAATTTAGAGATATGACTAATTAAATATGGGCTCTTGTGTTTGAGGGAAATCCTCGGAGTTCTGAGATCGGAGAGGCTTTATGCCAAATTCTCCAAGTGTGATTTTTGGTTACGGGAGGTCCAGTTCCTAGGGCATCTCGTTAACCAGCAGGGGATATTGGTTGATCCGGCAAAGATTGAGGTTGTGATGAGTTGGGAACTGCCGAGGTCACCTTCTGAGATCAGGAGTTTCTTAGATCGCCGTGCCATTCACCAAGTTCACCCGGAAGGGGGTTTTGCATTTTCTTGGGGTCCGGAGCAGCAGACCTCATTCGAGACACTTCGCCAGAGATTATGCGAAGCCTCGGTGTTAGCCCTTCCTTTGTACAACCCGAAATTTTCATTTGTACAAACATCAGCTATTCAATAGAAGCTAGTCCAATTTCTGTAAATTTCAGACTTGTCCGAACAAGTTTGTGTACTTTAGGGTTTACGTTTCTGGACATATCTGGAGAATGAATGCTCCTATGATCGTGAAACTTGAACACTGTAAGTCTCACAATATTATAGTCCGACTCCCGGAATAAAAATATTTTCTGTCAAAATATTCCAGGACTATAAATAGTTTTCAGAACTAAATTAGTTCATTATTTGCAATTCCAACTAGAGAAAAGCCAATTCTCTCTGACGGATCTTCGGGTTTTCATCCCGGATTGTGAGTCTACTTTCCTAAACGTGTTTTAATACTTGTTATATGCTTTATAACATCATTTATATGTCCAAAACACAAGATCCGTGAGTTTACCGCCCAAGAACGTTCTTGGGGAGTAAACTCCAAAATGGAACTTTAATGCTTTCTAGACCCATCCACGTGTTAGAGGACTTATCAATGACATTGTGTATGATCTTTATAGCCTAGGAATCATCCAAGAAACATAAGTTCTAGGAGTTTACGGCCAAGGAACTCCCTTGGGCCGTAAACCCCTTTTCAAGGGCTTAAATGCCCTAAAACTTCCCCAAATGCTTAAGGACTTTAACTACTAATACTTGTACTTGTTTAGAACATCAAAAGTTCATCAAAATCACAAGTTAGTAGGAGTTTACGGCCAAGAACTCCTCTTGGCCGTAAACCCCTTTTTGTGGGACAAAAATCATTCCAAGCACACCTAAGGCCTTAAGACAATTTACCTTGAACTCTTGGGACTTGAATGGAGAGAAAAGTACATCAAAAGCACTCCTTGAAAGGAGTTTACGGCCAAGGAACATATCTTGGGCCGTAAACTCCAAGTGAAGGCACAAAGTGTGCCTCTTGTCCCATAAGCCTTAGATAAATTCATGAAAGCAATCCTTGTTGTTTAAGTGCTTCAAATCAATTAAAATCCAAGAGTTTACGGCCGTAAACTCTAGGATGAAGGACTTTAGGCCGTAAACTCCCATATGGAGTGTTCTAGAGCCTTAAACTACTTCATGTGTTATTCCAACAAAGCTAGGAGTGAGCTAGGACCAAGATAGCACCATAAAACACCCAAAACTACCCTTTGAGGAGTTCACGGCCATAAACCCATGAGTTTACGGCCGTAAACTCCAAGATGTGGGGTTTGTTGGGTGGTGAACTCCTATGCAAGGCCATTTGATGTTTCAAACCCTTTTGCCTTGTCCCGTAGCAACTCAGATGCAACCATTTGAACCTTAAACACTCATAAGATGCTTACATGTTCCTAATTGTATTAACTTACTTGGTTAAGTTATTATGTGGCTAATTAGTATATATATGCTTATTATATGATAACTAGGCTCGTACGTGTGAACA